GATATATGTATACAAAAATCGATGTACTTTGGGATCTGTGTGATGTTTATCTTGGTACTTTGAAGTTTGGAACACTTGAGAGAAAATGAAAAAAGAAGAAAGAAACATTGACTTCAATTTGTGATGCATTCCTAATTTCACGAAAGCTTAGAAGCATCTTGTACTGAGCTAGTGTGGATCAGTTTCTTGAACTGTTTCAAAGTTGTCTAGACTGTTCATGCTTTTATCTTGTCCTGTTCATGACCATGTTTACAGTTGAAACGTTTCATTAGAAGTTTATTTAAAACTTCAACGGCACTTCAAACCATCTCCTGTTATTCTCTTTATATTTTTTTTACTCGAATCATTTTATTTCTTTTCATGTTTGTCAGTTTGTTGGAAAAACAGGTCATTTTCCCAAGGTAGGATAAGTGTCCCACTTGGAATCTTGGGCACAAGTCACAAGATCATTATTCTTCTCTTGAATTCAAGCCTACTCAGAGGAACAACTTGTCTTATTCTCAATGGTAATTGAAGGAATGATGGAACGTAATGCCAATTGCTTTACACGTTTTTAATTTAATAATTTGACAGGCAAAAGTGGATGAATGAATCTGAGATACAAGTTTAATTTGTTAACAGCCAAAAGCTCATGAATCCTTCCCATGGCGATGGATATGGACAGCAGATCTGAATTGCAGGGAACTGTTTCTAACGCACAGTTGTCCACAACCCACATTCAGGTCATATTTCCTTACTCTTTTCATAGCTTCCTAATGTAGTCTTGTGTAGATGACAGAGGCAGCCTTGTGCCTGTGTCCTTAATAATTGGCTCCAATGCACCTTTCCTTTTCTCTCCCTACTTTTTCCCCCTTAATATTTTTATAATAAAAGTTCATTTATTTATTTATTTTCACACTTTTTAGTGTGTTGGTGACTTGGTTTTGGCCTATATTTTAGCAGACCATCCGTACTTTCCCTACTGCACTGTAGCTTCTGATAATATCACTTTTGAATTGGACTCATGTGCATTCTAGGAGAGCCATGAGAATCTGAATAGTAGACAGACATTTGATCCACTATTTTTCTCCCCCTTGCATTTCCATTTGAGTAAATTTGACTTTTATGTCCAAATTTTCAAAGTTTTCAACTCATTTAGTTTTTAACTAAGAACATTTGTGATTGATGAGTGATATATACTATATTACTAAGAAACTGATATGATTGCTCCCGTGGATTTATGTGAAGAAGAAAGTAGATATGAATGGGAAAACCTGACACTGAAATTTTGAATCATATATACTTTTTAGAAAACATTGGGATTGAGTTTGTAGATATTCGCACAACTTTTATATTAGAATATTACCACACCCATACAAGCTTGCCATTGTAATTGCCAAAACTTTTGCTGCTTTTGAGAAATATGGCTATTCTCATGTTTCAACGAAAGCAAGGACAAAAGTAGATGTCTCTTCAAGTTTGTATTATGCCCATTTAAATAAAATATATATATCATGGTTAGCTGATATCAGAAGTCAACTTTGAAATGAAAAAGGGTATAGAATTATTTCATAGGGCTAATTTAGTGGCCATGAAAATCATCAACGCACCACCAGGGGACAAGTCCTCCCTCAAATGCACTGTAGAATACGTATGTAGATGTTTTGATTTCTGTATACACATTGATATGGTGTCTAAAATTGAAGTGTTAGTGGTAGACATTGCTTATTCGTTCACTAAATTTGTTATTGATGTGTTACAATCATGCAGTGTCGACGTTTATCGTTTAGCTAGCATCACGATCATATGTTCAGTTCGTGGCCTGCCTGATTATATGCTTGATTGAGATCTTGTCTTCATAACTTCTAGTTTCACTTGGTGCATCTTTCTTGAGGTAATATGCAGTTGAATTTAATATTGAATTGGAAGGCCATTTTCTCATAAAGTTGGGACTAATTAGCAATAAGCACGTGTTAAAGTAGGATTTGTTCTTTTTTCTTTATATTTTTTTAGTGGGGGGACTCTCAATAGTCAATATACCTTGTCGAACTGCAACCTGAAAGGAATCTAATGGGAAAAAGAATTAAATTATATTTCATACATAAATGTAAAATCAAGTATTAGGAATTAGGGTGTGCATTCAACTTAACAATTCGGACCAACCTAACTCGAATTATGAGTATTGGGTTCGGTTGGATTAGCCTTTTGGGTTGGGTTGGGTTCATTTTTCTGAACCCGAATTGACTCGGTTTAGTTTGGTTTCAGGTTCATGGGTTCATTTTTTTAAGAAGTTAACCATAATGGTAGGTTTGTCTTTTTTTCGGGTAGGAATGGACCTTGGTTGCAATTGATTTTAATATTTTTATTTACCTTTTTTGAGTTCGAACACTAAGAAGAGGATGAAACATGAGCCGTTTAAGATGATAATTGATGTTTTATTTATTGAATTAAGTTCAATTGACTCGTTTTCGGTCTCTAAGAGACGTTGTGGACATTTAATTAGGGATGACTAATTAAGTACTTTGGCAAGCTTAATTTGGGCGTGATATTAATTAATTTTGTTAAGCCTTTTGCTGTTCATAATAATTGGTTTATATGCCTTGATCTTGAAGGGACTAGAGAGAGAAAAAGAACATGTGAGAAAAAGATTGAGAGAGAGGAAGAGAAAAGCAAATCCACAGCTGAAAACTCAAACATGGGTAGGGCTACTTTGTTTGTACCCAGCTTTTCTTTCTTTAATGATACATTAACTGAATGTTTAAGAACATTAATTAAGAATGATTTAGATTAATCCATCCTTTTCCTCTTGTTCTAATCCCAAATCACATGCTTTAGGGTTCATTATTCCTTTCTTAATTCAATTCCAAAGGGTTCTTAGAGGCCACGAGTGCAATAATAATTATGCAAATATGCACCACCCCACTTTAGAACATGCCCTTTTTTTCTCTATAGAAGCACACGTACGATAGCAAAAAGATGGGTTGAAGCCTTAGATCCGGTTTTATTTTGATTGATTTTAATAAAGAATACGAGTATAGTAGTGTAGTAGTGTTATGCCGAGAAATTCTATAAGAGAAGATGGGAAGCAAATAAAGCAAAGTATAGTAGTGTTATACGGAGCATCTTGTATTTTGTTTCGATTGATTTTGATAAAAAGTGTTTTCCACTTGTTAATTCCGGGTCAGAGAGTTCACAGTCATCAATGGCTACCACCTTCCTCAATCCTCATCATTTCCACTTACAAACTTGTCTCTCTCTTAAAAAAAAAAAAAACCCTTTTCCTTTCTCTATCTAAATCACCTTTTATCTTCCCACTTTCTTTACGTTCCCATGCATATATGTTTCTATCCATACATGTATCTATGAAGGTATGCCTAGGAATATATTTATTAATACGTTGAAAATATCCGAGTAACCGAGATATTGGAACCTCCACTTAAAAGAGCTAACTTTTGTTGTATAAGGTAATGACTCGATCGATAAAGATTAGTTTAATATAAACATTTGAGTCCAAATTTCCTTTTTTAAAAATTAAAATAGGATTCAATTAACGATCTTTCGTCAGATACTCTAAGCACTCATGCGCTTAAAAAAAGTTTAATTTACCCTAATCAAGTAAGCTTAGACCATTGAAGTTGGTGATAATAAATATAGTCTTAGACAAAAAGTGCCCCATAATAAATACTCTAAAGAAAAGATATAATTAAAGCTATGTCTTAAGTAGGTGAAAATTTTATGGCTTATGGTTTAATCACACATAAATCAACTACCAAATGATTAAGCCAAGTTTAAAATCTGTTAATCCACCACTAATTGGAGTCTAATTGATGCTAATTATGATACAAACAACAAAAAGTAGTGGTAAAAAAACACATTACTTTAACCAAGTTTGGTTATTTCATTAGTAAAATTAGTGGAATTACCCCTTTTTAAGCCTAATTCAAATCTTTGCCCTATAATTATTACACTAAAAGAGCATCAATTACTCTTATACATTATGCAATATTATATAATTCATAATATATTAGATTACCCATTTTAATTTAACGGAAATAAATTAAGTTTATAATGTCAAATATTATATTTTGATACATATTATTTTTCTTTGCATCATTAAGCTAACAAAAAAATCCGAATACAATTTTAATATTTTAAATCTCAGTATTAGATGAACACGACTCTTTATAATGATATGATATTGTTAACTTTAAGCATAAACTCTAGTGTCTTTGCTTTGGGCTTCTTTAAAAAGTGTCACAGCAATGGAGAAAGTATTCCTTGATTCTAAACCCATAATCATTCTCTGAGGGGATGTGCGACTTTCCCTCCAACGGTACTTTTCTTTTAAAAAAAAAAACACAGAAAAAGTAAATGATCCCATACCGTGGGGAGCTGGATAGTTATTGTGAAGCCTGAAGACCACGTACACATTTAAATAATATTATAGAAAAAAATGCCATGTCAACACTGACAACCTGACACTCCTTCCAGCTTGGATCCACTCGACGTACATGCGAAAAAAAAAACAACGGTCATATATTATTTCAATACGTGGAAAATAATTGGAAAAATACTTATTTTATTTTAGTCCATCCACCAAAGTTGTTCAATTTAATTTCTGTCTTTCAATTAATTTTAAAATTAGTATATAATTAATTTTTTACTAAAATTTATTAATTAATAATTATAATTTCCATAGAGAAAAAATTACCTTCCTAACATATTTTTATAATTTATAATTTATAAATAGTTTATTAATAGATATATATATATACTATATATATATTTTTTTTTAGAAAAAAAAAATAATAAAAGATTAATTTCAAAATTTATGGAAAAAATTTTGAAATTAAATATTTAGATCAATTTGGACTATCCAACTTAAATAATAAAATTTAGGTCGATTTCGAGGTTGATATTCTTTTACTCGAATCAACTTGATAATAGAGTTACAATCGGACCTATGCGTTAATTTTTTTTACCCAAATAATTTATCCACCAGGACTCCTGACTACCTATATATTAGCCTCTGAAAACGGGCTATAATTGCCATCATCTTCTTCCCTTTCTTCTCTGTCCATGGATCTGTGGGACAACTCGTTTCAAAGGGAAGATCCAGACCCCCACCACCACCACCACCACCAGCGGCGGCGTTCTCGCCGCGAAAACCCCTCTTTCTCTTCCTCCCTTCTCGACGCCATCTACCGTTCCATCGACGACTCCAACGCCCAGGGAGAAGACCAACTCATTTTTTACACACAAAAAACTACCACCAGAACAAAACAGAGCATCTCCGCCGCCAAAACAGAGGACCACCAAACTCTCCAATTCCGGCGAGCTTCTATGATCGAGAACTGGATGGATAACAAAAAAATCAAAACCCTTCGCGACTTTACTGTTTCCACTTCGAGCTCGTCCGAATCCAGCTCCACCGCCGGCAGAAGACTTTCCTCGTCGGAATCAGAGTTTCTTTCACGTACACTCCACCGGCCAAAGCCGAAACCGAAACCAAAGCCGATCAAAACCACCACATGGTCTCAAACAGAAATTATCCCAAATCCAAACCACGAAAATGGGTTCGTTAAATCCAAATTCAAAGCTTCAAAAATCTACCACGATTTGAAGAAAGTGAAGCAGCCAATTTCACCCGGCGGCCGACTTGCGAGCTTCCTTAATTCCCTCTTCAATGGCGGAAGCCCAAAAGCTAAGCAGAAGATATCAAACACTTGTTCAAACAATTCAACGAATTTGGAGTACGAGGCGCCGAGAAAATCGAAGTCCCAACAGGGATCCTCGTCTACCTGTTCCTCTGCTTCGTCGTTTTCGCGGTCTTGTCTGATAAAAACGCCGTCTTCAAGAGGGAACATTAAGAGATCGGTTCGGTTCTGTCCGGTGAGTGTGATAGTGGACGAGGATTGTCGGCCATGTGGGCATAAAATGTTGAACAAATTAGAGGAACCCATTGGGAAGAAAGGGAAATTAGAAACAGAGGAGGATGATGAAGACGACGACGACGACCGTTTGAGCTGTTCAAGCTCCGACCTGTTTGAACTGGATAATCTGTCGGCGATCGGAATGGAAAGGTACAGAGATGAACTGCCAGTGTATGAAACTACCCATTTCAACACTAATTGTGCCATTGCTAATGGATTGCTTTTGTAATTTTTTTCTTTTTTGGAAAGAATTTTGGGGGCTTAGATAAGAGATTAATTAGGGTTCTTTTTAATCAAATTAGAGTCAGAGACTTGTTGTTACTAATCTTCCCCGAGGCCTCTGTTATCGAGCTTTCGAATAGACTCTCCTCAGTTGTTCGACACCTAAATGACTCATTCTTTCAAGTCCTCGAACAATCTCTCCTCAATTGAAGCTCAACTCTTCCTCAAATCTCTAAAACAAAATACACAGTGGTATGATATTGCCCACTTTGAGCATAATCTTTACTCTGGATTTTCCAGCCTCGTACCAATCGAAATCTATTCCTTATCCTTCCCTAAATTAACAAACCTTAACTCACTCTCAATAATTCTGAACAATTTTCTCTGTTCTCTTTTCCATTATTTTCCTAAAAGCTATATGAATATTACTCGTATCCATATCTGAATCTTCATATTACTCGATATATCGATCAAATATTGATATTAAACATTCTAATTTACATGATCTATTATTATTCATGTTGAAAATTTTTAGTTTATTTGTTTCTTTTTATTTAAAAAAAATGTTTAATAGGTCACTTAACTTTAAATTCTATATTTACATATTTTTTAAAAGGTAATAATAACACTAAGTTGGCATGACATTATAAATGTTAATATAATATAATGAGTTAATTGTAATTAGAAAGAAAGCAATTAGACATAAATGGAAAGGGAGGGTTGGGCCCACAAAATGATGGCAGTTTTGATATGAAAATAAGTAAAGTTAATTAACTAATTAATTAATTAATTGTTAATAACCAAATTAACATAAGAAAGCAGGGTTAGCTTAGGTGTGGGAAAATGTAATTTTAAATTATCGCTTCTGAATTATAGTTTATCATATATATTATATTTGATTTTTTATTATATTTGTCTTCCATCGCTTACTATAGGTATTTTTCATTTATTGCTCATGCATGGCTTACTATAGGTATCTTTCATTTATTGCTCATGTAGAGTAACTGTTCTTCGATTTCAGCTAATCGATCAGTCTGGGACTTGCCCAGTTGTTTCTTGGTGGCCATGTCTGCGTAATACTGTCCAAGGAGTCGAACTTGGCTCTGATACCACTTATCACAGTCGCACTTTCATGGCAATAGACTTGCGATTGTACGACACTCACTTCTCAGCAACGAGTGAGTTAAGGTTATTCGTTTTTGCGTCGCCTACAGCCAAGCGACGTATGCTTGAGCTACTGGCCCCAGTTTAAGAAGAAGGTTTTAGAAAACGGGAGTAGAGAGTTTTGGAAGCAAGATTTGAGAAATTGAAATTGGTATTATATGAGAATGTAAGCAAAATGCAACAACAACCACTTACTGTATATAACAATCGGATAGTAAGAAGTTGACAACTAGTCATATCCCCTACAGTACATTTTAGGCATTTTAGTCGATGGAGGTGTTCCTATTTATTATTCTTTTCCTATCTTTGTAATTTATTTAATTATAAATAGAGAACTTTCACACCATTTTAAGTGTGACGATTTTAGCAAATATTCTAATAACACTCTCATTCTCGAACGTTTCCAAATATAGATATAAGAAATTTTGAAATATTTTTTTTGAAGTTATCTCGTCCATAAAATGTTCCATCCACAAGAGCAAAAATACTTTTTAAATTTTTAAAAATATTAGAGCGTTAATGGAATTTTCAGATACTAATAAATTTTTTTTTTTAAATATTATTAATTTTTTAAAAAAAGATTTATGCGTATTTTTTTTTTAAAGGAGAATTAGATAAAAATAATAATGTGACAAAATAATTATGGGAGGCATTGTAGCCTTTGCTTACGTCAAATCGTTGACTGTTGTTAATCATCACCATAATTTCACCCAATATCTATTATTTTTTGGTTTGACTTTAAATCAAAATTTAATCATATTTATTATTATTATAATAATTATTTTTATTATTTGGGTTTTTATAATTAGTTAAAAAAAAATTGAACAGAGATTATGGAGGGAAAAGGCCAACATATTATATTAATTAATACAAAAAGGCAATTTTATAATTGAGTTTGGTACCCTATTTTTCCCCTAATATGATCCACACATGTTCATTAATTATTAATTATTAATTATTATTTCTTTTGAGTACTTTTTTAAATATGCATTTAATTATGACCCAAATCTTTGTCCCCTACCGTTTCTCTTAAAACTTTCAATATCACTATCATTTATATCACTTTAAATCAATATATATTTTATTTTACTAATTATTAATCATATAATTAAATACCCAAAAAAAAAATATAATCAATAAACTCAGACGGTCTAGGATTTTAAAAAGTCAGGTCGCTAGAAATGACCTCTTAATTAGAGATTCTTATCTAAACCAATTCAATTATGTTCAGATACGTTTACGGGTATCCATCGACCCACTAAAATTTATTTTACGATGATATCTCGATAGGAATAGTTGAAAGAGATAGGAAGGTTCCCGATTAGGAGAAGAAAGAAGAAAAGTCGATGAAAGGTATAGCACAAGCGTAGGGTTGGCATGTTATGTTGCTCACCAACCATGCACAAGCAAGCACTATATCCAACATTATCCTATGCCTATGTCTGTGTTTCATGCAACTTCTATGTAGGGACCTCTCTCTAAATTAGGGTTTTCCCACAAAAATGGCCCCTTTAATTATTTTTGTTGCCCTCTCCACCTTCTTTCCTATGCTTGCCTACTTCTATCCCTACATTAAGAGGGTCCCTTCTATTTTCATTCTCAATAATGATCGTGAAATCAATTTCCAAAACGTTCGATGGGGTTTGAGTAAACGAGTAGAGTTATTTAGTTTGAGCGTCGTTCAACATCGAGAATTGTTTGATTTGAAGTTACTAAGTCTAGTGATCTAAGTCAGATCTTTTAGCACCTTGCCAAGCGGTGGGAGTACATAAGCAGTACCATTAGACATATGTTAGATGGTGTAGCTCATCCAGGTCAACCTGGTGCCTTTATTGGGTGGAAATGGTCAATGCCTTCTAAATAGAACCTCTGCACGGTAACTCAGTAGTTGCCTGCATTTGAAGTGCTTAGTTGTTTAACTCAAAATTGTTAATTCAGACTCTAAAACTTGGTTTCTGAAGGAATGAAATATCATAAGTGAACGTGAATTCTCGTTGAGTTGAACCTAGGAATAATCAAATAAAACTAAAATTTGAGTATGAATCGTGATATTTTATATATAAATATATGTATTAAAAATGTTATTGTAACATTGATGATTGAGTAATGTATGAAATATCGCTCTCGTATTTAAATGATTGATTCATATAAATAGACAATTTCTTACGTTATTTAATAAACTTGTCTCTTCAAAAGTCGTATCTCCAAATATCCTAATAAAATTTTGAACAATCACATTTTTTAAACAAATTTAAAAAATAATAATAATAAAATAATGCCTTCGAGAAAAATTAATAATGAGAATTTATTAGAAAAATTATATTTATTTGTATATATATAAAATTTAATTTTTATTAGATTTTTGGTTATGTAATATTATTAGGATAGTTTTATATTTATAATATAAATTATATTAAAAAATGAAAATTAATATACGTAAAAATATTTTATTATAAATGGATGGTTGATGAAAGTTAGTGGGCTCAAGTGGGGGAGTTTGGGCCCACAAAACAGATTTGGATTTGGATTTGTAGGGGCAGCCCATTAGTGTCTTTCCACCATCGCACGTGATGGGCTGGGCCCATTAAGCTCCTACACCTGTCGTCCATCCACACGTGTACCCACTCACTCTCCGTAACATCCGCCAAGTGGATCATTATCCTCTTATTATTATTATTATTATTATTATTTTGACTTCAATTTGAAATTTTTAGGCGCCTTGTTTTTTATATTAAATTAACTTTTTTATATTTATGACCTTATAAGTTTTATTTTAATTCTTACTTTTACCAGCAGTAATTATTGAATATGTGATATTTTAAACCGAGTAAAAATTAGTAAAAAGAGTAAAAATTGGCAATTTCTTTTAAAAGCGAAAATTTTATCATAAATTTTATTTTATTTTTTTAAAAAAACCTTATTTTTTAATTTTTATAAAAATTAAAATAAAATATAAATTAAAATTTTATTTTAAACCATGCTTAAAAAAAAAAAAGGACAAATAGGTAAATAGGAAAAGAAAGTGTGTGATTGGGAGAATATTTTGTGGGAGACAGACACGTGAGCTAAGCAGCTTTGTTGATGTAAGATTACGAAAATGCCCTCGGATAATTTTGGGTAAAGTGGGAAAAGAAAAGAAAAGAAGAGTGAAAAAAAAAGGAGAGGTGGAAGTGAGGGAAATCTTTTTAAGATCCCAAGAAGAATGTTTTGTTGTTTCAACAAAATTAATCAATAATTGATGCAAATTAGAGCCCATGATTCATGAAATTTTCTAATTTTGAAATTATTTTCAACCCGATAATTATTTTCGGGTAGAATTGACACGTGTATTTGGAGATTCAAATAAAAAATGATGGGTTAACGAGTGATGGGTAAATATATTGGTTAGTAATAGGGTAAAAGTTGATAAGTATCGGTGGGGTAATTGTTAGATGTGACGTTGATACTAGTAAATATGATAAATTTTCATGAATTGTTTGGTCGACAATTTTGCTACCATTGATTGTTTTTTTGAAAAGATGTGATATTCAAGCTGCGATTACAAATTAGTTTCAATTTAAGGGTACTCGCATTGAACCTGCTCCCATATTAGTGTCGACAATGAAGTCAAAAGGACTAATCAAGTGAAATGTCTATGTCAGGGCCTATGATACCTATGGTAGCTAGCATAGTGGATACTAAAAAAGAGAAGATGGTGGTGTTAATTGATGATTTACCAAAGGTACCTCCTACGTGAACAGTGAGTTTCTGAATTGATCTCAAATCTATTCTAAAATCTTCTTACTGCATGGTACTGACACCCGAGGCATGTTGGTTTTATTCGTGCAGAAAAAAGATGGATCGATATGGTTGTGCATTAACTACCGAGAGTTAAACAAAGTAACTATAAAAAACAAATATCTCCTCTCTCATATAAATGATTTGTTTTACGAAAGGTGATATTGTTCTCCAAAATTGACTTATGGTTGAACTACCACGGTAGAAGGAAAGGGAAGAGGACATCCAAAAGACAATATTTAAGATAAGGAGCGACCATTATAAGTTCGTGTTCATATCATTTAGAGCATGAAATGCACCCTAGGAGAGTTCTAACCATCTTGAGGGAGAATAAGTTATCCGTCAAGTTCTTGAAGTGCAAGTTTTTGTTAGAGCTTCCGTATTTGCAGATTATTATTGACCGTTCGTACAAGATTTCTCTAAAATAATTTTGCCATTGAATTAATTAATTCAAAGAACAATTTTTTTTTTTGTGGAACAATTTTTTTTATGATAGATGCCACATTTATAAGTTACTTTAGTTTTAAATTTCTCTATAGGGAGTAGTTGAAATAAATTTTTTTATGTTGGTTTTTCATGATATATCATCTTTATGTAAATTCATTGAATTCTAAAAAACGATGTTTGAAATGTATTTTAGAAGCTCGGAGATTTTTAAAATATTTTCATTTGAGTCACTCTGAAACACGCATGATATACATACAAAAATGGTCATAGAATCAAGTGAAAAAGTAAAGTCGTTACATTTGGTCAGCAAATATAAGACTAGTCTCAGCGCAGTCTCAGCCACTTGAACTTGCTATTTGAAATGCATACGATTATTATTTATGATGATATATGATTTATATGATGTAATGCTTGTCCATGACTTACATGTTTATGTAAAAGATTTACGAGACACCTCAGCTGGTGCCTCATAAATTCATCCATCATAAATTAACGCTATATGTTTACAGTTACCATTTTGGCCAAGCCATATCCTTGTATGCTTGGATGCAGCAGGCAGGCATTCTACAATCAAAGCTTTGGCATATCTTTCATAATTCATAATTTTTATGAACAGGGCATCCAACTGTGGTTCTAATACACATTAACAACTAAATTACAAAGGATTTCTTATCAGTAAATTCCAATTATACACTGTGGTCTAAGAAAGATTTCCCTATGTTGAGCAAAGCAACACAATAATCTCAACATTATAATCCTCGTGGATTGATTGGGATGTAAAACTAACCGATATATGTCACATCTTCAACGAATAGTAGCTCTGCTTCAAACAAGCACCACTCGAGAACCGCTTGGGGTATCATCTAATGTTTACTTATGTCTTTAAAGGAGCCTTCTTTTCTCGGTCAGATATCCGAGCTGGACCAGTCGTATGCGACTTGAAACGACCTCTTCCTCCCTCTTCCTTTTCCTGGAAAATTCATGCAGGTGATCATGTACATGACGAAAATAAAAGAGAAGCGAGGAGTCAGCGACCCCGATTGAATTAGCCGAGACAAACAACATTCGGTACCTTTTTCTTAACAATCTGGACCACATCCTCGTCCTGAAGAAGATGACCAAGGCCACAATGTTGTGGATAGTGCCGTGCACTTGTACCCCATACAAGCACGTATTTGACATCTTTAACCAAACTCCTGTGGATATGATTACAGAAGTCTTCGACTGTGCACCCACCTCTATCCTAAAATTATATTCATGGAGTAATGACAAGAAGAGGAGGATTAAAACAAATACATAAATAAATGATTTTAGAAGGGAAAAGAGAGGGTAAGGCATACAGCAGAAAGAACAAATGGATCGGTGAAATCGGGTTGCTGGCCTTGAGGCTTTGAATAAATCCTAACAAGTCCCATCTCCTCCCACATCCTAGCTAGTAGTCTGTCTAAGTTCAACTGTCCAAATAACAGAAGACAAACTCATCATAGTAAAACCCATATAGACTGATAACCACAACAGATTTACTGCTCAAACTAACTTGAGTTCACAACAGAGGTATGATGTGAATGCATCTTAACTACAGGTTTGGACCCTTGGGTAAAATTTTATTACATAAACAAATACAAGATTAGGTAAAACCAAAAAAGATTGTGCATGCCAGCATGCTACACAAACTCAGAAGCTAAAACCAAAAAAGATTGGTCCAACATGAAGATCAAAAGGCAGATATTAAATTGTCCACTCAAACTCGGTGGAAACTGAAATGATAGAACATACCTTGAGATTACAACTAATGACAACGGAGTTGGGCTGACGGGCCAAATTGTCTACGTCGTCAATACCAACCACATCAATCTTGTTGTAGACATACACACACTTCATGTACTTACGATTTCCCTCGATTACATCAATAAGATCATCAGCCGTGGCATCCTCTCGAAAGAGTACCTGGAGAAAATCAACATAGTGACATGTGGATACGGTCAGATCTAGAAAGAATGGCATAAAACTAATCTAACACCAACTGTCTATGAATATGAACAAACAAGAAAAATCATGCAGAAGAAAGAAAAGAGAACTTGTGCACGTATACTACTTATCAAGCGTATTGCTATCCAAGCAATTTTAGCCACCATATGGAAAGTAATCAGCAACTTTATCAAGCGTATTGCTATACAAGCAATTTTAGCCACCGTATGGAAAGTAATCAGAGGGTTTGTATGGGAAGTGGAAACAAGGATGAATCCACCTGGTGACATGGGTTCTGGTGCCATGGATACTACTAGACAACTTCACTAAATGTAATTTCAATTTTTTTCTTTTAAAAGGATACAAATACGAACTTAGTTTAACAGTTCAGGCATATTTTACTCGAAAGAGATTGTAGGTTCGAATTCACCCACCCCATATGAACGTCTAATTCTAAGAAAAATAAAAAATAAATAAAAAGTCAATCGGCAATATGATGATTAAGGACATAAATCGGAACTGTCCTATTTGAAATTGGCATTGATGCCAACCACGAGCCTCTTTTAAGGCCAGATTGGAACCGCAATAGTTTAGCAGAACTTGTTTTTCAATTATTCTCTCTCTCTCTCTCATCGTAGCTAAGTGTAAAGCAATTTTTAATGCACGCTACACCCTGGATGGACGATCACATCCTCAACCAGTTTTGTGAGTTACAGCTTAGTAATATGGATTTTCTCTTGCTTCTCAATAAATAAGAAATCGAAGGGAAAAAAAGAGAATATTAATGGAATTAATCACTGATGATTCTATCGGTAATCAAAGGCAGGTTCCAATAAAAGGAACATAGATCAGAAATTAAGGTGAAAACCAGTAATCTACGTTCAGTTGGAAGCTATACCTCTGCATTGTGAATTTTGTACTCGTGTAGAATTTGATAGCACAGCTTCTCATCAACATGAGTTAAAGGAAGGGTACTATTGAATGAAATACCACCTGTTTTTTTCTTCTTGAAATATATCTGTATATAAGAATTAAAGCAGAGATGATTGAAGTACTAACTGATTAACCGGTCAACAAGGATGAATGAGAAGAATTTTCTATTTCAGCCAAATTGAAGTACAAGATGGAACACCAATGAAGAAACTAGCAAAGCCAAAACTTACTTGAGGTGGTCTCTTGTTCAAACGCAAACCCACTGCTTCCAGCTCCCTTGTGAGAATCTGGCGATGGCCCTCACTCTAAAGATTACATAGAAAGTGTGTCATGAAAATGTTGGCTTAAACAACACCCATAAGAAGGTAAGAGCTAAATTGTAAAAAAGAAATTACAATATATACTATAGAAAGTGCTTGTGAATTCATTATAAACAGTAGAATTGCAAATAATATTAAATAATCATTCAAAAAGGTAGCATATGTTACTTATCATTTTCAAATAGTTAATAATCAGAAGGCATCCAATCACCATAGAATGAGTTAAAAGAAAAAAAATTATAGCGTATCAGGGAAAAATTTCCAGAGTCTCATAATCAATAAAAGGACGTCAAAAACTTGAAGAGGACTAAGAAAGCAAGTCTTGGAAAGATGACATCAAGTCTACCGGATGCAACCTCATATCAAACAATTTCAATCATAGAACCTTAATTTTGGTTCCGAAAATAAAGAAGTGAAATAATTTGACATATACAAGAAAAATTCGTTAAACTCAAAACAAAATTAAAAGAAATTGATTCTTAAAACTTACTTTTGAGGCATCAAGAACCATCAAGACTAAGTCTGAAGACTTGGCAACAGCAATAACCTGAAAAATACAATTCAAGAAAACTTAACATCCATGATACCCGTGATATTGAATAGCTAAAAGGGAAGTGGTATGGATGGGGGAAAAAAAAGGATTATAACCAATTACTATTCAAATAAAATAAACAAAACATTAGACTATATCCCCTATTGGTTAATCATATGCTATAAGCCTACAACAGACAAATAAGAAACTAAACTATGTTACCTGTCTACCACGTCCCTTTCCCTCAGACGCACCTTCAATAATTCCAGGAAGATCAAGCAGCTGAATTTTGGTATCATTGTAGTGTATAATCCCAGGAATGCAAGTCAGTGTCGTAAACTCATAGGAGGCGGCTTCTGATTGAGTACCTGTCAACAATGTTAAAAGTGTGGACTTTCCCACACTACAAAGGAAAAAAGGAGACTTGTGACGTAGATTCCTCTGATATCAAAACAATGTTATTATATAATTAATAGAATAATATTGCTTAATAAGTAGCAAATACTACAAGGAATAATAGAACCTGCAACTCAATTCTAAAAAAATTTGACAACCACATTAATTTGTTTTACAAAATTATGATAATAATAAGTAGATTCATATAAAGTCTCTTTGAGAACATCTGATAAAATTGGAACAATTCAAAGAAGATTAACATACCCCCTCACAAGGATGATATGCACAAAACACTTGTTTCTTCTCAAAAGAAAAGAAGAGAAAAACTAGGAAGTCTAACATGGTTTAGAGACAAAAGTCTGCATGATCCGAGCATATAGGTTCAAAAGCTCTAACAGCCAAGTTTTTAGAGCATCTAGACTGGTGTCTCCTTCTGTATCAAGTTTAAGTATCTCTTTTCAATAGTTTTAAGAGAAATAACTATCGTAAAGTGACAAACAGGAAAAACCTTGGAAATCCTATGAGTGCAACACGCCCATGGCCATATTTTGTAACTTCAAAACCCTCTCCACCTCCACTTGAACCCTGAATGCATCATGTTAAGAATAGTAAATACGAAAGCCAACTTTTCTCAAGTCCCACCATATAAAGGGACCAAGAAGAAATAAATAAAATCAGTGATATTCTGAAAACAAAGATTGAAAAACTACCATCCTATCAATGAACAACAAGTAGTCAATTTTTATGAACTAGTATGCAGAAAAATAGGATGCATCAAGAGCACAGAATATAAGAATTGTAAAATGGTTGAAAGGAGCTTAAACGGTTGTGAAGTCTAGGATAGGAAAATGGAAACCTCTTAGTACACTTGTTTCTTATATTGCATCATCCACTAAACACATGATGAAAGAGGAAAATGCCCGGACATGTAGAAATGTGAATACACGTTAATAAAAAGAGTTAGAAACAACAGACACAAATCTCAATAAGTACTTATAAACACGCTGATTAATAAGATAACATTAAGTCTGCTTGGGCAACGAAACATTTGTACAACAATGTATACTTTGATTAACATGAAAATTAATTTAAAAAATGTGTGTAATATGAACAATTTTAGAACAGGTTCGGAATTACAGTTGAACTTACAAGAAAAACACATAACATCAAAAAATAAAAAATATATATAAAAAAACCACTCTTTGCCAGGTGAAATGAAATTTTTGCAGCAAGGAAAAGCCAAATGATCAATAATAATGGTTTGGATTTATAATTTCTTTGGAAAAAAGAATGAAGAAGAAGAAGAAGAAGATGGTTTGCTCCAAAAGTTTTAAAAGAGGCAATACTGAATTAATTTTGAATTAACTACTCGTCGACAACAATAAGTGAATTGTTCATGAAACGACTTGTAGTACGATGAAATTACTTTTAAGGGTTCCAAAAGCAGCTACAAGTGCTTATTCGCCGAAGCACTTGAATGAATAGAAAAACTATCCATTTCGAGTCAGACAAGTGAGTACACAAGAAGCAGATGCATTCTTACAGCTCTCACCTAAACAAAGCTTACAAACTAAAAGAAAGAATCAGCAGATATTGAAGGAACGCAAAATCTACATACCTTTGGAGGCTCTAACAACTGCGTCCTCAACTTTGCTATCTTCGCCTTGAGCTGACCAAGATGATATTCTGCGGTTCGAGAAAGAATTACAAAAAAACCGTTGTGATCACTTGAACCAGAAAAAGAGTACATGCAAATTGTGGTATATGCACAACACATGCAAAAGGAAGAGACTGATAATAACAGATTAATGGATGAAGCCAAGTACCCGTGGCCTTATTTTTCTGAGTCCGAGCCATCTCGGCCTCGATTTCTTTAATTCTTTCAATGATTCCCATTTTGCTACGTCTTCAGCAGCAAAATCACAATCGAAGCACCAACTCCAGAAGAAATAAGATATATGTTGTGCTCGACCGAATTTACCTTCAAGAAAACAACATAAAACAATACAAGTTGATCGATACAGATACAAATGAATGCGTCAATGGAGCATTAACTTCCGATGAACTCCGTTTTCCTGGTCGATAAATTTCCAAAATTGCAAAAGAAAATAAAAGAAAGTAGATCATTGTTACGAATTCAAGTTCAAGCTCAATTATATGATCCAACGAACAGCAAGCTACAGTTATCAATGGATAATTCAGAAGGCCACAAATCAACCGGAAAAAGAAACAAAATGATGGAAGCAAATTTGTGGAATATAACTCACTGTAATCGACTGGGTGAGGAGCTATGGAGGTTGAAGGACGGAGAAGGGAGGAAGGAAGGAAGAAGAAAAGCGCCAAGCCGAGAAGAAATAAGCATGGCTAAATCGAGTAGGTCTTAAAGAATTAATGGAACAGTATTGGGCTTTTCAAGAGGCCCAGTTTAATTCAAAAGGTCCACTTTTTATTTTTATTTTTCGAAACTAATTAATGGTATTATTTACAAAAGAATTGTCATGTTTATTTGTATATATATATATATTATTTTTTAATTTTTTAATTTTTTAATTTTTTTGTAAAAATACAAGAATTTCTATTATTACGGGCTTTTCAACTTAGGATTGCTCTCATCCATATGTGGTCTCCGTTCATTCGTGTACCTCATTTTTACTCGGGTATCACATACCCACCGGACTTTTTTTTTTCTTTTTTTTTTTTGTCTTGGTTCGTCTCCAAACCACATATTACTAGGAGAGGAACCTAGCTCTGACACAATTGGTGATGACCCATGATCGAGATTGGGAATCCAAATTCGACACCTAATGGCTCTGACATTCCCCTACAACATGGTCATGTTATTTAATCCACGCTTCTAAGAGTGAAAACTATCCCCTACAAACTAACACAAGTTCTTCCAACAGGCTTTGTCCTCACTCACATGCATTCTAGAAATTTTTTCAAGAGATCTTAAATTTGGTTAAAACAAAAATGTGAATAAATTAAACGGAAGAAAAAAAAAATTATGATTGGGTTAGGTTGGGGTCATTATGTAATAAAATTTATTTAAGATGAAAAAATTTACCATGGGATCTAAAAAATGACCCAACCCAGAAGCCCAATGGGCTCTCTATTACCTTGCAAAGCCCAAATTTACGCCATGAACCGTACAAAATCGCCCAATCAAGATCTTTCGTTCTTTTGATCGAAGTCGGAGACTGTACCCCACACAGAGGGGTGGTAATTCGTGCAGTTCACGGCGGAGGGAAACGATGGCTTCTATGGAGTCGTCTAGTTCTGCTAAGAAAGGTGAGCTTTAGAGGATGTATGAACAAACCATCTTCAATCAGGGTTTATTCTGCTATTTTTGATGAATCGAACTTTCAAACTTTATTCAATCTTCAGGCTTAGTTGATCGGATACAGAAGGAGAGTTCTTTTACAATTACCGTTTAATACGATTCTTTCCTAATGAGGTTTTCAATCAAAATTTATGGTGATTTATTTGGTTTTATTTTTGGTAGTGGTTGTTCTGCTGCGATCTATTGGGGATGCTCCCATTCTCAAACAAAACAAGTTTAAGGTTTGTATTACCGTAATTTTTGTCTTTCTATGGATTTAAAGTTGTAATGTGTGTTGTACTGTTTAAAATGTAAAATGGAAATCAAATCTTGATGCATGTGAAAACTTTTGGTAATTCGATTAGATCAAGATGAACTGAACTGTAAACGATTGATTCTAGTATCGTGTATGCTGACTGAATGAGACATAGATGAAGAAAACGACCATTGTAGGAGCTAAAAGGAATGAAGCTTAATCCTTGTACTTATGGTTTTCATGTGGCTAATAGCAGAAACTTTATTGTTTATGACAAATTGTGGAAATTTTCATAGAATAATTGACGAATTAAGTATCATGATTAATTTGGGGAGGGTATATCCCTGCTATGCGGTGAGGGTTCTTAGAATGTGTGGTTTTGAAAAATTTTATACAGCGGCTCCTCCTTTAAAGTTATCATTTTGGAATTTTTTTTCCTATATTTGTAAGTTTATGGCAAATGTTCATTCACATATTGTATACATTTGACAGATGCCTGGAACAGACAAATTTATTAAAGTGATTGATTATATACGTCGGTCAATCCAACGGGACACCTTGGTATTCATCTGACTTCTGAAATAGTCTCTCTTTCATCTGCTCATTCTTAAGAAATTAATGACACTTCACCATGCTAATTGTTTCTATTCTTTGAAGTTTGTGTTTGTCAACAGTGCATTCTCACCTGGTCCAGATGAGACAGTTATTGATCTATATAATGTGAGTTGATATTGACTCATTTCTTCCATTTATGTTCAAGATGCGTTTTTATACTGTTTGAAATTTTCATTAACTTTTAGAATCAGAAAAGGAGGGGGGATTTTTTTAGAAGAATTGGTTGGAATTTATCTTAAAAAGATTCCATCTATTGGCTAGTCAAGAACTGCCATCTTAACTGAGGGGGTATCTTCATTGAAGGTGTAGTGTAGACTTCTGATGTTGATGTTGGTCATGAATCATTCTTGAAAATACCCATCATTATATATTCTAAGGAGGTGAAGGAAAAGGCTTAAGCAGTCAAGATTTGAAACCTTTCTGAAGCATGAATCCACAAGATCTCTTAGATTATCACCTTCTCTGAGGGCTATGTATGGATAAAATTATTCCCTGTTCATAGCAATTTCTCAATCTGTTTCTTTACCTAAGAATAAATATATGTTTTCTTTTTCATATCCACACGAGTTTAAAGTTTTTCTTAACCAATCGTGTGTAGAGGTATCTTGTTCATTATCTTTTTTGTGTGTTTATTTGCAGAACTTTGGAATTGATGGGAAGTTGGTCGTAAATTATGCTTGCTCGATGGCTTGGGGATAATTTGCAGTGTGGTAATGTTTAGTGCTGAGGCTGTAAATAGTATATTGAACTGTTCATTCTAAGTACTGTGATTATAAGCTCATCCATTTCTTTTTTAAGAACCATAGTAGTAGATTTTCTTCCATATTTTAGGCTGCTTTCCCAGATGGAAAAACAAACCAAGTCAAGTTCTAGAGTCGTACTCGTCAAGGACCAGAGTCTGTAATTATTTATTTGATCGACCTCGTTAATCAATTGTTTTAACATTGAATATGAAAGCCAAAGGATTTTTTTGTCTTTTACATCATAACTGTTATTAACATACAAGTGGTCATTCCTATCCAAGTGCCATATTTTGTCTGATGAAAGAGATCAGTTCTTGACGTTTAACATGCTGGGGATATACAAGTTATCTTTCTGTTCTTTTTCTCCATTGACAAGAGTTAGCTGGGAACATATAACTCTAATAGTAAGCTTCAAAGGGGTCAATTTGATGGTATAGGTCTGAGGAAACACAAACAGATAGCGAGTTGAGCGTCGGTCTGGGGGTTATATATAATAGTACATTAGTACTTAAACTTCGCTGTAAATTTGTACACATCTGTTTTGTTTGGGTAAAATCCAAGAATGACAAGATATAGGCGCTGACCATATCAGGCTGAGTGTTATGTGGTGGAGGAATGCTGGTCTCCACTATTTGTCTGATTCTGACCATCTGAAAACTTGGACTAAACTCGTGACAGAAAGTGAACATTTTGTTTTTCTTGTCTATCTGAATGATTCTTTTCATATCCCCACCACTGTATCGGATTATGAGGCAAAATCTAGAAACCTAAACCATCCCCTCTTAATGAGTGCACTATCAAACTCCCTCCCTCTCTGAACTTCGGGGATTACCATATGTAGCACAAGATCACCCTCTGCCTCTCTCTTTAATCTTAGGAGATTACCATATTCGCACGCTCGATGTCTCTTGCTGATTCCCTATGATCGAACTTCCTTGCCTTTCGCTATATTCAGAGAAGTGTAAGGAACTACAATCTTTGGAATATGATTTTGATAATTGATAGCAGGTAGAGTAGATAACACAATATCAAGTTAGTAGGAATCTGTTCGTCAGCAAGCAAATATTTGGCTAAGGCTATGAGGGAAACGATAGAAATTTAGATAAATCACTGATGATTGCATACAACCTAAGCTTATAGTTGCTGCTTATGATACCCAATTACAGGAATTTACTCATCCACTCCAAATCAGGCCCCTCATTGGAAAAATCAAACAAGTTATCAACATCATACTCCAAGTTCGAGCTATTTTCACATTCTTGGGATGTTTCCTCTTCTCTCGACCCTGTGTCTACTTTTCTTTTACACACTTTTCTGTTGAGAATGTCGCTTTCTCTTTCACTCTGTAGGTTCAGTTTCTTGCTCAAATGAGAATTCCAATAGTTCTTTATCTCATTATCTGTTCTTCCCGGAAGTCTCCCAGCAATCAAAGACCACCTGAGAGGATCAATCAGGTACCACCCCATCCCGGAAAACCAAAACTCCTTTTCAGATTACGAACTGAAGTTAATCAAAGCGAGAAAATTGGAGAGTGAAATGGGCAAGAAAACATGACCTGTTGCCAAGAAGTTTATGGAGCCTGAGGATCAAATCTTCTTCTTGATCTGATATATTGCCTCTCTTAATGTTAGGTCTGAGATAATTCAGCCATCTTAGTCTACAACTCTTCCCACACCGATTGAGACCTGCAAAATTCAGAAACCCATTAAACCAAATTTACTTCTCATATCTCTGGAGTTGGAATATACAAGATGAAAAAAAAGGAAAGGAGTGAAAGAGCAGCAGCACCTGCTTTGGCTGCAATGGACTTCCACCTTTTTGCTCCATGAATGGCAATAACCTCAGCCAGTTTTTGATCTTCTTCTGCAGTCCAAGCGCCTTTATTGACTCCGCCATTCCTCATATTTTCTGCCTCATTTATGTCTCCTTCAACTTGACTCACTTTTCTTTTCACAGACTCCTCTTCAGTCATTGGAACTTTAAGAGATAGAGATGGAAAGAACAAGAGTGGGAGAGAGAGAGAGAGAGTTTATGGTTTAGAAGAGTGCTTTATTTCTCCTTAAGAGGCGAAAATATAACAGGGATCTCAGCAAGCAACTAGAGACATATACAAAGAAATTGGAATAATTTTTTGGGTTGGCAGCATTTCAGGAAAAGGACACACTCTGATCATGAGCTCGATGATTGAGCGAGATATAAAGTCTGCCTCTAAATAGTTAACAACAGCTAGCAAACACATACTGTTTAAGAAACAGTGAAGGGAAGTAAAACTTAGGGAAGTAGTAAAAGTTTATTGGAATTAATGTTTTGCACAATGGATCTTGTTGTTGTATTCTGAATGAATGAAAGCCAGGAACTGTCATGAAATTCAGAAAAAAGGAAAGAGGGCTTTAGAGAGAGAGAGAGAGAGAGAGGCCTCGAATTTAGTGAAGAATCTATGTATGATAATGGAAAGGGGAAGGAGAGATGATTTTAGAGAGAGACAGAAGGAGGACAAAGTGAAAAACTAAGCAGAGAACAGAAAAGTATTGTCTCGAAATAATACAACTTTTTCAGAGGCCATAGAAAGGAGAGAAGATCAAAACTCTTTTTATTTTTATGATCACTATGCATGAATTTGCATTTTCATTGGTTTCAACTTTCATATTCCTATTTCTCTGTCCAAACCTGACTTTTCACCAACTACTGTGCATTTTATATATGAATTTCATCAGAAAAACCACCTGTACTTTCTTTCTTTCACAACATCAGAACAAATGGAAACTGTTGAACATGTTTTACTTTAAGTTGTTGAGGTTAGGTAGTGAAATTTAACCATACCCATTTCCTAATTCTCATGCATACCTCTTACTTACGTTTAATGTATAAGCTTTTAACTTGCTTTATATGATATTGTAGCATCGACTTCCAGAAAGATCAAGCTTGAAGTCTTGTAAGTCAAATTTAATCTATTGCAGAGACCCTCGATACATCGAGTCTTTTGTCAATAAAATAGTGTTGATAGAGGAACCTTTGGCCGGCGATTTTAGTCAACATCGGGAAAGGGGTAATGCGTAGAGGATTGGACAGGCTTGCTTTAACCTTGCTAAATAACTTGATTCCCAAGCATTGTCCGAACAAGGTCAGACATGGTCCATTCAAGGGTAATAATCAACACAAATTTGAGGTAGCAGTACTAACTTATCGAGTTGCAAATTATAAATTCATGGACCAAATGTCTTGTGAGCCGTGATAACTTTTTAAAAAAAAATTGTATCATAATTACAAAGGGAAATTCTAACACCGGGCTCATAGAAAAGGTGGTAAAAAATTGTAACATTTTGAATTATGTTCGGGTCGATGATAAATACAATATTTCATTAAAATTCGAAAATGTGGTTTAAAATTAAAATAAGAAACCAAATCTGAATATTTATAATATTAATGTGATACTCCTTTAAAGCTGAAACATAAATTCGGATCTCAAACCTTAGATTTATCTGTTTGTCTTTTTACATTAATGAACAGCTTCGTAGATCCAGCTCAATTTTCTTTTTTTAATTTTTTTTTAAAAACCTATAATAATTCATCATGGATATAATTTAATTCTTATTTTTACTTTCGAAATTTTATTTTAATAAAATTTTTAAAAGTTTTTTTTTTTTTTTTTTAATTTTATCCCCTAAGATTTTTAGAATTCCTATTTTACTCCCTCGAAAAAAAAGCTTTAGTAATTGACCACGCAGATATTATTCTATTTGAATTTTTTTTTATTTAGACTTTTCTTAAAGTTTTAAAAAGCATTGGAAGGATTTTCATACCTTTATAACAAATGTTTTGTTCCCGCTCTAACTAATATAAGAAGTACTCGTGTTTAGCTTTTGCATAGGAAGATGGATGGCTTTGCTTCGCACTATAAATATGAGCTGACAGCCAATTTAATGGAGGGCAGTGAGGAAGATGGGGCTGAGGGAAGGTCTCAATTATTTTGCCCAATCCCAATACAATCTCAATCATCCAATTATGGAATTAATTTCTTTTACTTGATTTGATTCAAAACAACTCACTCTCTTCATTTAAGAAAGAAACAAAAAACCCCATATTTTTGGAGTTTTTAGACTTGTTGATGCAGACTCTAGTCAAGTCTACTAGTCTGGTAGTACTTGAGCTGACTTGAGTTAGTATCGAGCTATAATGGTGTTGAACTTTTAACTCGGTAGAATTGCCTAGGTGGGTATGATCTCTCTACTCATCTTACTTCTCATATGACATCACTCTCGAGTCTAGGCAGCATTCAAGCTAACTTGAGTTAGTACTAACCCAAAATGGTGTTGAACTTTTAACACGGTAGAATTGTCTAGGTGGGTATGATCTCTCTACTTATGTTACCTCTCGTATGGCATCGCTCTCGAATCTATATAAGAGCTTGATTGTGTCATGGAGAGATATCAAGAGCTAGGTTTAACGACCTAGCAACACGTCCCATTGTTTCGAACTCTCTTTTTAGAATGGAACCTCTTGACACGTGGGCCTCAAATAATTTTTCTTTTTTTAAAAAATGTCCATTATAAAGTCTACATAGACCACTAGGTTAGGTTTCATTGATTTATATATGGGCCTGTCTGATTGAAACACAGAATCCTATTTGCTTTCAAGCCCAGTGGGCTTTCTTTGCTCCAATTTGGCCCATTTTCCTGGATCGCCCTCTAATTCTAATTAACCTCTTACTCGTCAATAATAATAATAATAATAATAACCAATTTCAATTTTAAGGTTTGCGTATAAATAGCGTAATGAACTTTATAATATTTTTAAGTAGTTAGGCCTTGCGTTGACTTTGATTTCGAGCAAGCAGCAAAATTGGTTGACGTCTTGACACCTAGGATGACATCATGAATCATGGACGAGGCTCGAAAGTGTTGAAGATTGTTGGGAGAGAGTCCCACGTTGGTTAATTTAAGGAATGATCGTTCAAGATGTCTTGGTGGTCAAATGGTAGATATGTGTGACTAAAAATCTCGTGCTAAAGAGTACGGAGGTTTGAGTCCTCTTCAAGGCGTAGTGTTGAGAATGCCCCTTATTATTGGAAGGAATGGTAAAGACCTGTCCGGGATGAAAGCATGTAAAAGGGGTTTTGAACGTCGATGCAACCATGGACAACATGTCCTGGACATGCAAGATCGTGACATCCTCCCTCACTCAATTGGTTGACGTCCCTGTCAACCATCCCGGACAAGCAAGACGAGGACATCTATTAAATTTTTTTAGGAGGAACAAATGACTATCGATCAAACTTATTCTATTTTTACAATGCAATGGCTAGCTGTTCACGGACTAGTTATACCTACGTTTCTTTTTTAGGGTCAATAACTGTTCCCACGTTTCTTTTTTAAATTGAATCGTATAAGTCTTTACTCGGGTTATTACTCATCAACTTTTAAATAGAATACACTTCTGAATAACAAAACTTTTGTGAATATCTTCATCCTATCCGTATTTTTAAAAAAGTAATTTATTTGATGTAATTTAATTCGGAAAATTTTTAAACGACCAATGATAATTAGCAGTTTAAAGTTTTCTAACAAGACAGACATATAAAATAGAGGAGGGATCGAGAATATACAGAGTCAATGTGTTATAGACACATCTACTTTATAAATATTTATAAATAAAAGAAAATAATAACAGAATAAGGAATATCAGATAAAAAAGCTACTATATAAGAAAAATAATTAAATAATTAAGATCATATTTAATAACTATTTAATTTATTTTTTTAAATAATTAAGCAGTTTTATATATAAATTTACTATAAAAATAAATTTAAAAAATGTGGATTGTTTCTAGAATCTTACTAAAAATAAAAGTAGTGATAAGAAATTCAAAATAAAAGAATTATTTGTTATATAGATTGGGTGCACAACGGTAGATGAAACGGAGCGGGCAGCAGGCGGATAGGAAGGGCGAGCAATGTCGTCTTGCGCTTAATGGGTATACATCACATTTGATTCAGATTTTTCTGCTTTTGATTTTGATTTCTTGTTCGTTCTTCTCTCCATTTCTGATTATACACTTTATTAATTCAAATCCTGTTCTTCAATTCTTTTTCTGCTAACCTATTCTGTTTTCTGCTGTTTGGCTCTCAACTGTTCTTATCAACTAAAAATCTTCACCATATGATTTGATTTCTTGGAATGCCTTCAAATTTTCATTTGAACATCAGTTCTCCATGGTAGGATAGGATGTGATTGAGTTCTGTTGAAAGAACAATAGAACAACAAACCCTAAAGAGGAGGCAAAATTTATACAAGTCTATTGCTAATAGATATTGTTCGGCTTTAACTTGTTATGTATCGCTGCTTCACGATTTTAAAATACGTTTGTTGGGGAGAGGTTTTCATACACAATTCACCTCCCTTAGTGACCTAACGTTCTTCCTAGTATACTGTCTAGTGACTGACTATAATACTATTGTAACAACTCAAGTTTATTAACTCGTTACGTATTGCTATTGGCCTTATAGATTTAGACGATGGAATGAAAATCAGTTCAATTTCCCAGTTCACCATATTCATAATCTACAAAAAGAAATCTAGCCAATATGATAGAAGAATCAAAATATTGTAGAACTGGAGATGAATTTGGTCAGCCTCAAAATAGAAAACTGAACAATATCCTACAATACTGAATAGCTAAATTTGAAGGAGTGTGGGAGCTGCTGAATAAGAGATTGTTTGGAGTTTGGACAGAACTGGCAACTGCAGAATGCCAATCCTTCTGCTATCAAACAGTGAAGCTGCAAGATTCTTTCACATCTGCCTTCTCCTCAGAAGAGGTTCGGTAACCCTCAATCATTTTAGTAAATATTGTGTTCTTTTGAATTTTTTATTTTGGGTTTTTCCTCGAAAGGCATTTTCACGCCTTTATAAAAAATGTTTTGTTTTCCTACTCAATTGATGTAGAATCTCACAATACACCCTCTTTCGAGGCCCAGCATCTTTGCTAGCACACTGCCTCGTGTCCACCCTCCTTCATTGGCACATCACTCAGTGTCTGATTCTGATACCATTTGTAATAGCCCAAGTCCACACCGCTAACAGATATTATCTTCAAGGTTTTTAAAATGCATATACTAAGAAGAGATTTCCACTCCTTATAAAAAATGATTCGTTCTTCTCACCAACCAATGTGAGATCTCAGATATACCCACCTCAATCTTATTAAATTGTAAAGTGTTAATCTAATCTTGGGATAATTTTTGTTCTTAAAAGAAAGTAGGAAAAACAAAGACCCTACTGGTCAGGAAAATGAAAGTGCATTTAGCTATGAAGTTAGAAGAGAATCTAGCAAATTTCCTGGTTGTTTGTTCCAACCAAACTAGCAAGGCTGCATACTTTGAAACATGTTTCTTACAGAAAACGACAGCGAAGTGTAAAAAATAAAATATTAAATAAAATAAAGCAAAGGACAGGAAACCTCTCTTGAAAATCCTGCAGTTTACATTCAAAACTTTAGCAAAAGAAAAGCTTCCCTGACCACAAACTAAGACGGTACTTCACTCACTGACAAGTACTCTTTTGGCCATAACCCAAAACTCCATTATTGATTCTTTAACCATCTGCACAGAGAGACAGAAACAGAGGAAAAAAAAAAACAGAGGTGAAGTGAGAAGGAAACTGTCAGATTACAGCTGAAGAACTAAAGGTATTCATAACCCAATAAAATTTCCATTTTGTATACTTGAATTTGAGGCTAAATCAAGCCAGGAATCCGAGTTTTTTGGTGGGCAATCCTCAAAGAAATGGAGTAGCGGCTTCTGGGTTTCACCATCTTGTTCTTGTTCTTGTTCTTCTTCCTCTGCTTTAGCTGATTTTGACGATTTATTGAAATCTGTGCCCAAAACAAAGCAGTGTTGCTCTTGTTCTTGCCTTGCCTGTTTAGAATTGTAAATTTGGTGGCTTTGAGTAACAAATTGGGAGCATCCTTTGTAAGAATCCATCGCTATTGGCTGCTGATTATTATAAACCTCAGCAACCGAGGGAAAGAAAGCCTGCACGCCAACGCCCTCTCTTGAACCATTAATATCCCTACTTAACACACAACCAACAACCTTTAAACGCATATCGTAAACAACCCATCAAAGAAAAAGAACACATTTTTTTGAAACCCTTTGTTTTTCACCGACCTGTAATCTTTATCAGCTTGAGAATGAGTCCCTGAGTACAAAAAGAGTTGAGGGTTTGTATTATTTGAAGGGAAATCAGAGCAGGGAGGTCTGGAGGAGGAAGATTGAGTATACATAAATGGATGAATGGAGGATTCATGATAAGCAGCAGCAGCAGGAGGAGGAGCTTGGTGATATGATTGAGTTTCACAGGTCATTGAAGATGAAGAAGAAGAAGAAGAAGAGGAAGAAGAGATTTCCACAGGCTTTCTTGAACGATTTCTGCCTCTATGCATGTGTTTCTCGCAGTATTTGGAGTCTGGAAAAGCTTCTTTTGAGCATCTCCATTTTTTGCCATCTGTTCTTCTGCACCTTCCTGGTTCTGGGTCTGTTTTTCTGCCAAAACCCATCTCAAAACACCCCCACCCAACTGAGAAAACACAATAAAACAGTCAAATTTAGTGTAATATGCTTGTAGTTGCATATGAAACAACCGTGACTTACTGGGTTGGTGAGGGAAAAGTCTTGCAGAAAGGGAGGAATCCAAGCTTCTTTTCACAGAGAAGATTAGATCAGGAGGGATTGGTACTCCTGAAACCATGTATTTGAAGATCAAAGCTTGGTGTTCTAGTTCTTGCCATTGAGTTGGTGTGAAAGGAGAGGTGGTGCAGGTCTTTGGACTTGAATTCATTGTTCTTGAAAGCTTGAAAGACAGAGAGGTGGAGGGTACGTTGTTCTTGGGAGGTGCTAGTTTTTTTATGGGTATTTCTGCAAAGTTCATAGGCTGTGAAAGCTTCTTGGTTCCTGTCAAATGATGGCTTGCAGTGTGCAGTTAATATGAGTACTCCTGTGTTGGGTTCATTGCTGGTTTTGTCTCTGAGTAGCTTGCAGAAACTCACATACAAATGGATAAAAGAAAGAGAAAAGGAAATGAAATATGATAGACACACCCTTCATTTTGCTCTCTCCACATCATATTCCTTGAAAAAAGTGCCATGAGATTTTGCAAAACTGCTGAAACAATGTGGTGTGGTGTGATGTACCTTCACAAACTCACTCTATCAATACGAACAAATACACCTGCAGGTGTCATCTCCCTATTGCACGCTCAGGAGGCTGAAGAATCTACCAAAACCCTACCCTTTATAACATTAACTTGGCCTACTTTTGCCTCTTCTCTTTCCCTCAGTTTTATACTGATATTTTGCCCCTTTACTCTGGGTTTCTTCTGCTTGGTTGGTGGGTTCCCTTGAGTCATAAATCCTTCTCTATGATCCAGTGGTTAGAGAGAGTAACGAACCATTTTTTATAAGGATGTAAAAACCTCTACGCGTTTTAAAATGGTGAGGCTGACGGTTAGATAGGGTAACAAAGCATTTCTTACTAGGGGGTGGAAATCTCCCCTTAACATATGCGTTTTTAAACTGTGAGACTGATGATTAGATATGGTAACGAAGCATTCCTTATAAAGATGTGAAAACTTCTCCCTAACAGACGTGTTTTAAAACTATAAGATTGACGGTGGGAGAGGGTAACAAAACATTCATTGTAAGGATGTGGAAGTCTCTCCTTAACAGATGCGTTTTTAAATCGTGAGGTTGACAGTTATAGAGGGTAATGAAACATTCATTATAAGGATGTGGAAATCTCTCTCTTACCGACACGTTTTAAAATCGTAAGTTTGACGGTTATAGAGGGTAACGAAGCATTCGTTACAAGGGTTTGAAAATCTCTCCCTAACAGATACGTTTTAGAACCGTGAGGCTGACGGTTGGAGAGAGTAACAAAGCACTCATTGTAAGGATGTGGAAGTCTCTCCCTAACAGACGCGTTTTTAAATCGTGAGACTAACGGTTATAGAGCGTAACGAAGCATTCATTATAAGGATGTGGAAATCCCTCTCTAACAGACACGTTTTAAAATCGTGAGGTTGACGGTTATAGAGGGTAACAAAGCATTCCTTATAAGGGTGTGAAAACCTTTTCCTAACAAACGCGTTCTAAAACCGTGAGGTTGACGGTTATAGAGGGTAACAAAGCATTCCTTATAAGGGTGTGAAAACCTCTTCCTAACAAACGCGTTAGAGAAGGTAACAAAACATTTTTTATAAGGGTATGAAAACGTCTCTCTAACAGACATGTTTTAAAAGTATGAGACTAACGACAATATTTAACCGATCAAAATAGACAATATTTACTAGTAGTGATTTTGGGCTCTTACCCACTAAACTTCATTATACTCGTTAATGAGCTAACACCCATTTGAAGCTCTTACATTTGTACTTAGCTCACAATCTGTGTGCAATATAATGATTACAAAGGGAATTGAATTAATGAATTGGGTTTTGTAAAACTGTAACTCTTTTGTTAATGGAAAGGACAGAAGATATTAGGACAAACCAAGCAAGGGACTATTGGTCAGTGGGAGGTTCCAATTTGTTTGCTTGCAATTCAAAGCTCTCTCTTTTTTCTTTTGTTCATGTCAGGGAAGTGCCAAAACTGTTCACACACCATCAGAGGACTCTGTCCTAAGACACATGCCCTTCTTTCTCTCTCTTACTGCCCTTCTTTCTCACTCATGTCTCCTTGTCCTTGTTCTTTATTGTGCTTCCCAACCAACTCAACTTTCCACTCATTAACCCCCAAAGTTTCCTCTTTCCATATCAGTCACTCTCTCATGCTTCCTTTTGAACTCCATTTTCTGCTGCACACTCAGGCTCTGAGGGCTCACCCCATACCCCCAAGATGCTTTCAGGACTGACTCAGTGATACCCTTTTCTTTTTTCTTGCTCAAGTGGGGGGTTGGTTTGGATTGGGTTGGCTTGGCTTGATAAAGAGATTAAAGCTTTGCTTGTTTTAGAAGTTTCTTTTCCTTTTGGTGGACTCATCTTTGCAAACTAGATGGAGTTTGCTTCGTTTCCATTATGAATGTTACTCTATGCTTACTTTCTACTCCCAATAACATTTGCTTCTCACAAAGATATTCATTGGGATGCCACCCTGACTTACTCCATATCTGTTGGATATAGACATAGTTTAATGGTGGTATCTATTTAGATCCTAAACTTTCTTAACTCAATCTATTTAGACTAATCGTTAATGATTTACAATTAGTTTTGTGAATCTCACTTCGGTTGGAGAGAGAAACGAAACACTCCTTATAAGGGTGTGGAAACTTCTCTATAGTAGGTGTATTTTAAAATCGTGAAGCTAATGACGATATGTAACAGGCTGAAGTGGACAATATCTGCTAGCGGTGCACTTAAGCTGTTATTGTGGTATCAGAGCCAATTACTGGTGGCATGCCAGCGAGAACGTTGGGTCCTCAAGGAGGGTGGATTGTGAGATCCTACATCAGTTGGAGAGCAGAACGAACATTTCTTATAAAAGGTGTGGAAACCTTTCAACAGTAGACGCGTTTTAAAACTGTGAAGCTAATAACGATACATAATGGACTAATATCTGCTAGCTGTGAGCTTAGACAATTACAAAGGGTATCAAACATATTCTTAGAAACTGTTTGATCAAGAATCTGGCAACTCATTTGAATCATACTTTCACCTTCAAATCTTGTGCTGTTTCTGGTACAAGAAGATCCACTACATCTCTTCCTATCTTCTTAATTTAATCTACCTTTTGATCATCACAACTACATATTTCACAGCTCACAATCACTACCTTCATCACTTGTCGAGCTACTTACTCTGGAACCGGAACTCAAGACTCAATCCTCAAGAAGAATCAATTCCTTATAAATCTCAGCCATCAGATATGCCACGTACACTTCATGGCTGATCCCCATTACGCTGTACTTCACCACACCCAATCTCTTCATCACTTCGCCTACACTTATCGCTTGGAACAAATCCGACGTGTTGGTTTGGTTGGTGTGAGATTCCCCAAAGAAAACAAGCTGGGTATGGACAGATTGAAGCTTCACGACAAGTCTCTAACTTGGAAAAAGAATTGGCATTTGTAATTCCCCAAAGAACAAGACAGGGCTTGTTTAGGTTCGTTTGTTTGGATGTCCAGAATTGCATTGTTGTGTCTTTGTCATCCCAAACGTGGCTTGGCGACATGTTGCAGAGCCTGAAGTTGAGCTTCCACCATGTTTTGAGTATTGAAATGGCGAGAGAGAGGATGGGATGCTAATGGAATAAGATGAAAGGGAAATGGGAAATTAAAAATGGAAGAGAAAGAAGGAGAAGACACCGGAGCTGATATCACTATTTGTGAGAGAAACAGAGTGATGTGTATGAAAAACAGGGGCTTTGTGTTCATAAGGAGTGGTACGTGTAACAGCTGAAAAGGAGTAAGGTTGAGTGGGAAAAAGGGTTATGAAGTTCTTCATGTGATATTAAGAAAAATGAGGCCATGTTTGAATTATAGTTTATTTGTTGATCAGTTGGAGAGGGGAACAGAACATTGTTCGTAAGGGTGTGGAAATCTCTTCCTAATAGACGCGTTTTAAAACTGTAAAACTGACGACGATACGTAATAAGCCAAAATGGACAATATCTGTTAGTAATGGGTTTGAGTTGTTACAAATGGTATTAGAGCCAAACACTAGGCGGTGTGCCAATGAGGATGTTGGCCTTCAAAGAGGTGGGTTGTAAGATCGCACGTTGGTTGAAGATGGGAACAAATCATTCCTCGAAAGGGTGTGGACAATATCAGCTAGAAGTGGGTTTGGACTGTTACAAATGGTACCAGAGCCAGTCACTAGGCAGTATGTCAGCGAGGAGGCTGGCCCCCCCAAGTGGACCCCAACCACAGAGAGGAACGAAACATTTCTTATAAGAATGTTGAAACCTCTTCCTACCAGATAGATTTTAAAATTGTGAGGCTGACGACGATATGTTACAAACAAAAGCGGACAATATATATTAGCGGTAGACTTGAACTATTACAGTATAGTTACTAATAGTCGTTACAATATGAATTCTATTCGTTAAAGCTATAATTTTTTTTACATACGTCTAACCGATGTATACTATTATATTGGCAATGAAAAGATACCTTACTTCCAAACCGAACACTTTTCCCCTGCCCATATTATCTACTTTTGCAATCTTTTTTACAATTGTAGTTCACTTTTTCACTTTTAAGACAGCCATGCTCGTCTGATAAGAGCCTTTCCACATAGATTCCTTAACCCATGCCACCATTTTCCTCCATATAAATCTCTTGTTTCCCATCTAGTTTTTGCTCAACAAGCAACCTTCTTCATAAAACTCAAAACCATGGATAGTAACTATGGCGCTTACACGAACCAGATCTCGTCTCAGAGACCACTGGCCATCGTCTTGGCTCTTGCTTCTGCTGTGGTGCTTTCACCATTAAGAGCTTATGAATCCAGATGGAGCTCTGGATTTGTTCTTCCACTGGTTCTTTTGGTGCTTATAATCGCCATTAAGACATCTTCGTCTTGCTCATCCATGTCCACGGACAGAAGGGAGAGAGATTCTGCAATTCTCTCGTCAGATCCTTCATGGGTTCTTAAAATTGGGAGCTCCTCCTGGGGACTTGCAGGGCTTTTAATGATGTTGATTTTCGGGCTTTCTTGGCAGAGTTCTGTTAAAGAATTCCTCTGGAGATAGAGAGCCTAATAATTTGTACTGTTGGGACCTGATATGGATTATTATAATGAAATCTTTAAAAGGTAAACTTAAATTATATAAACATAGCAAAGGCCAGCAACCAGTACATCAAGGAGTAATCTAATGCAGATATGTACAGATACTTATAATTATATACAACAGAACCTGATCCATAATTGAAGCATTGATATTTGTAGTGTAATCATAGGAATGGGGCAATGAAGCCACTGTCAGCTCCTCCAACCAGCAGGCTGTGGAGTTGCTACAGTAAAGCCTCCCTCGTACATTCGCTGGATTTCTTCCCGGTATTCAATCAACGACTTGTCGGGTATTGGCGGGGTCAATTCAACCACGTCCCCCATCTTCAGCTTGCACTTAGGGTCGCTCACAGGCTCATGGTTCAGTCTTGGTCTCAACTCCTCCTTTATTGGGAACCTATAGTGAGCCCATCTTGTGCTTCCTCTTCCTGCTCTTTCTAAAAGATCCATCATCGTTGTGTTAGCTGGGAATTCCTGGACCGACATCTGGTGATAACCGAAACAAAGCGTTTTTCAAATGTTAAAAGCTGCACTTTCGCATAACTAAACAAAAACAACAAGAATAATAATCATAGACCTTTTCGTTTTCAATCATTATGACAAACAAAGGCCCATC